TATTACCTAACTTGACTAGTTTTCCTGTGTTATTTTCTGTAGCTCTGATTAATGTTGGGTGACATGAATGAAGCACCCACATTGAAAAGGCCAAGGTTGTGCTAGAAAATCTGATTCACTGTGCGTATCTTAGGCACCAGATTTCTGCCCAATTATTTAAATAACATCTAGGAACAGAATCACAAATAGGCCAAAAGCCCACAGTGATAATTTTACTCTTAATCTTGTAAATTTCATATTATTAATCAAATACCTGGTTCCCCCTGTTAGCTTTTAGATGTGAAACATCTTCAGGAACTCAATAGAAGTCCAGCTACCTCTGTCTCAAGCACTCTGTACTATGTTAAACATGTCACTCAGTGGTTTCACTGTCATATCTGCAATGCACTTGATATTTTTGCATGAAGTCAGTTTAGTGCCAGTCAACAGCCTGCTATTCCATTTCTATACCACAACAGTCACCTGTTTTATTTTATTTATTTATTGAAGTCCACAAATATCTCTGCAGTGCACCTGTTCATGTTCATGTGAAACACTTTTACATGATACACAAGCTACTGTCAGCTACACCCTTGTTCACAGGGGTCACCACAGCAGGTAGCTCCGCATGTTTTTTGTTTTTGTTTTTTTACACCAGATGCCCTTCCTGATACAACCCCAAAGGGATTTATGTCTCCTCCAGGGATCTTTTGTTTTTTGGGCAAATGTATAAACCACTACACTAATGAGCCACTACAACACTAATGCCGTCTTTTTACCTTGTCCCAGAACTCAGTTTCTTTAAATGCTCAAAGCAACTAAATTAGATATCTTCTATTTGGTCCAGACTGAAATACTGAATCTCACCCACATTTTGAATTGCAATGAAGCATGATGAAGGATGACTCCTACTTGTTTTTATTTTATTTTCTCTACTAGTCATCTCATCACCCTTAAATGTTTTTCACAGTCAGCAAGCTGCATAAATAATGTATTGTGTATTTCAGATATTAGTGTAATGTTCCTTGCCATGAACCAGCAATCCTTACCTGAAGGTTCCTGCTTGTTTGACTCCTTCAGGTAGTACAGGGCTTTCTGGAAGTCTCCTAGGTGGTAATAGGCCACTCCAGATCGGTACAAAGCTTTGAAGTTTTTTCCTTCCTTGTTAAGCACTTTCAGGCAATATTCCTTTACTCGTTCATAGTTCACCAGCTCCATTTGCAAAAGGCAAGCTAGAAAGAGATTAAAAGAGGGGAGAGAGGGCGAAACTCCTGATCACACTGCAAGACCCAATGTTAGACTTGCATTATTTTTACTGAACTACTAATATGTCCTGTCAGGGACTAAAACACAGCTGATTCTTTGGTTAAATCTTAAACATATAGCAAATATTATAAGTTTGCCAAGGGGTGAATAAATATACCATTTATGCAAAGTGATAATTAAAAAGAAAGTGAGGCGGATTGTGGGGTAAGCCTGAGAATGACTCATACTGGCAGTGAATCATTCATGAGCTCTGGAGTATTCCCAGAATTTCCCTCTGCTGAAAAGACAGCTGATAAGTGGAATCTGTGTCCATCTGTGGGAAATGTATGCGAGAAACGTCTCTTACCGGCCAGACTGTTGTAACACTCCAGCTCTGCGTTCTCCATTGCCCCCTTCTGCTCATCCGTCAGCGTGGTGGACTTGCTGATGGTCGGCAGCAGGGAGGAGGGTGACTTGGAGCTTGTGTCCGGATCCCCCAGAACCCTGCACAGCCCTTTAATCTCGAGCAGAGCCCGGTGATACTTGCCGATTGCCTCTCGGTACTTCTTATCCTTGTAGCACTGGGTGCCTTGGCTCTTAAAGTCCAGCGCCCGTCTCACGACGTCCGCTGGTTCGTTGTAGGATGGTTGTTTCAGCATCGACCCACCATGATGCTTCTGCTGCTGGAGCTGCTGCTGATATCTGGCATCTTTGGTCCGGCTGCTGCTGTTAGGGGGGTGAGCGCACTGCTGAAGCCGTGGGGATCCGCAGGCGTTGTCAGTGTGGCTGCCTTTGCCACTATCCACCCTGCCGTCGTGCGCAGCCTGGATCACACTCATCTTCAACGTTATTTCTATTATAGCTGCCCTGCCCGGCTGTAAATTAGCTGGGAAATTGAGGCTTTTCACTGCATCCTCTCGGCTGTATCGCGCCTTCGCCTCGCCAGTGTCGCAACTACGTCTGTGTGCGCACCCCTACGCGATGCGCGCTCCTCTGTTGTAGCCTGCTCTCGTATGTTTCTCTTCAAACGCGCCGATTGGTCGATACCCACAGAGGCAGTGGTCCCATGGGGGTCCCACACCAGGAAGAAGAGGTTTAATATCATTATCAATTTATCTGAAGATAATTTTATTATCAGTTCGTTTGCAACCTGTGAGAAATGAGAGGGAAGTTACAGTCCTGTATTTGAATTAACATTTTTTTTAAAGAAGAAGTTATTCTATTTCCCCTTCAGACGCCAGTGGTAATTTGTGGCCCAATCGGGGATTTCTTGTATTTCTAAATAAGGCCAAATGACCGTGTAATAAATTGCCGTATTTCATCCTTCCTAAGCCATATACCCCATGGAAAGACTTGATCGGAGTGAATATAATCTT